TTGCTTATCTCCATTTTGTTTAGCTCTTTTTCTGGAGTTTTGATCTCTTCTTTTGTTTGGGCCATGTTTCTTTGTCTCCTCATTTGGCAGTCTCCCTGTGTTTGTTTCTGTGTATCAGGTAGAGCTGCCTTGACTCTGTCTTGGTTGTGAGGCCTAATGTAGTAGGTGTCCTGTAGGGTCCAGTGGCACAACCTTCCCTATCACCCAAGCTGGGAATTTGAGGTACACCCTTCTTGTGGGCTGAGTACACCATTCTCTCATAGTTGAGTCTTAGTTGCTGTTGGCAGATCAATTAGAGGGATTTATCCAGGCCAGTCAGGGTCAAGGATGGACTGTGACCACTTACTACCAACTTCTACCCTCCATGGATGATCAGCTGGGCAGTGGCAGGGTGGTGGTACTCTGACATCATCTGTATCTGTCTACTGGGTTCACTGGCCTTGGATTTCCCCAGTGGTGCAGGCCACGGTCAGCCCCCACCCGTGTTTTGCCCAGGGCCTCCATGCCTGAGCTATAAAGCACTCTAAGATGGCTGCTACTTGTGCTAGGCTTGGAGATTTCCAGGCAAAGCCAAGCTGTGAATCTAGGCTGGCTGGCATTAGTGCCAGGCCTGGGGTTCACTGAGGCCAGCTGTTGCTTGTTTGAGAGGATTTAGGAAGTTGTGCAGCATTAAGCCAAGACCAGGCATTCATATGGAAAAGCCACTTGGGGGGCTCATAATTTGGGTGGGGCAGAGTCTCTAGGGATCTCCAAGGTGGTCAAACACTGTTAGCCAGGTTGAAAAAGTCTTAGATATGGCACCAGCTTGCCAGCTCCGTGGCTGTGAGGGGAGGATTTAGCAATAGGACAATGGCCTCTGCTCACTTTGATGCCCTAGGAGAAAGTTCAGTTTCTCCCAGTATGCTTCTGGTGCCTTTCAAGCTGCTACCTCAGTGCTGGAGCTCAGAGGGAGTGAGTTTGAGTAGATGAGTCTGTGTGTGTGGGTTCTTTAAGAGGAACTGCCTGGGGCTCCAGCAGTTTCTTCTGCCAACTCAAACTCTACTGGTTTTTGCAGCCAAAAGTTATGGGGACTTATTTTCCTGACACTGAAACCCTGGGCTGGGGAGCCTGGCGTGGGGCAGGGACTCCTCGCTCCCGAGATATCTCTCCTGAATTTTTATCCACCACAAATGTGTGTGGGGCAAGCCCATTCTACACCTGTGATCTCCCTACCAGTCTGGATGGATGTGGTTTCTTTAATTCCATACTTGTCAGACTTCCATTCAACTAGATTTCTGATGTTTCTTAATAATGGTCGTTCTATATTTTAGTTTCAATTTTGATGTGGCTGTGCAAAGAGGCAAGTAATGTCTGCCTATGTCACCATATTGACTGGAAGTCTCTCAGTAATTCTTTAATGATTAAAGTTTGGGAACTATTGCCAGACTACTCATATGAGAACTGGGCTAAACTATGTCCTGGGAGAGTCTAGCAAGACACTCTGCATTGAGTTACAGAATAGATTAAATTATAACCCAATGGGTTTGTGGAGGATGGATTTCTGGTCCTGATTTGCTGGTCTCTAGTAGAGGGCTGATGGTGTCTAATCGAAGAGGGCAGGCACATGCTCAGGCTTATCAGGAAGAGCTGGGTCAGGACAAGGACTGAGGCAAGGGCAGAGCAAACCAAACCTTGCCAGCTCTAGACCTGTGTTTCCAATGGCCTTCTAAACATCTCCTGGTTGTTCCCCAGAAACCTCTATTGGTATTCTGGAGTTGGCTTATACTCTTAATTATTTTATTTTATTTATTTTTTAATTTACTTGTTTTAAAGATTTTATTTATTTATTTTTACAGAGAGAGGAAGGGAGGGAGAAAGAGAGGGAGAGAAACATTCATGTGTGGTTGCCTCTCATATACTCTCTACTGGGGACCTGGCCTGCAATCCAGGCATGTGCCTTGACTGGGAATTGAACTGGCAGATCCTTTGGCTTGTAGGCCAGCACTCAGTCCACTGAGCTGCACCAGCCAGGGCTATTTTTTTCTTTTTAAAAAGATTTTATTTATTTATTTTCATAGAGAGGAAAGCAGGGAGAAAGAGAGGGACAGAAATATTGATGTATGAGAGAAACATCAGTTCATTGCCTCTTTCATGTGCTTTTTTATTTATTATTTTTTAAAGATTTTATTTATTTATCATTATAGGGGAAGGGAAGGAGAGAAGGAGAGAAATATCAATGTATGGTTGCCTCTTGTGAGTCCCCTGCTCCCCTTCTGGGAACTGGCCTGCAACCCAGGCATGTGCCCTGACTGGGAATCAAACTGAGATCGTGTGGTTCGCAGGCCCGCGCTCAATCCACTCAGCTACACTAGCCAGGGCTCATGTGCTTTTTAAAGAGCAACTTTAGGTTCACAGCAAAATTAAGAGGAAGTTACATATATTCATGCCCCCATACATAATAGCCTCCCCCATTATCACCAAATCCCCCCAGAGTGGAACATTTGTTACAGTTGATGAACCTGCATTGACACATCATCATCACCCAGAGTGTCTAGGTTACATTAGGGTTCACTGTTGGCATTGTGCATTGTATGGGTTTGGATAAATGTATAATGGCATTTATCCACCATTATAGTATTATGCAGAGTAGTTTCTGTATAATGCTGCACTAAACCTCCTCTGTACACTGGGTACTAGACATATCAGGGTAATCACTTTGAAGGGTTATATAAATGTCTAATAACTGTGTTGTAACACCTGAAGCTAGTGTAATAGTTATTGTATGGCAACTGTGATTGAACATTTTTTAATTTTTAAAAATAAAACTGATAAAATAAATCAATAAATTTTAAAAAAGAAATAGACAGTACCACTGTAAGATGATACATTCATTCCTAAAAATGGTGAGACTTCAAAAGTGAAAAATTGCCCATTAAAATGCAACTGAAACCACAAAAGGTATTTCTTTTGATTGACCACAAGGTGGTCTACAATATTTTGTGATGTTTATATTTCATTTCATCTCTCAGCAAAAATTTAAGCAAGTGATGCTACAACCTAAGTATTATCCTTCAATAAAAATTTCCCTGATTAAAAAAAAATCCCATTCATCACTCCCCAAACCCCTAACCCTTGGCAACCACTGATCTTTTCACTGTCTACATAGTTTTTCCAGAATGTTATATAGTTGGAATCATACAGTATTTAGTCTTTTTAGATGGACTCCTTTCATTTAATAATATGCATTTAAGGTTCCTCTATGTCTTTTTATGGTTTGATACCTCATTTCTTTTTAGCAAATGAATAATATTCCACTGATTGAATGTACTAAAGTTTATTTATCCATTCGTCTACTGAAGGACATCTTGGTTACTACCAAGTTGTGGCAATTATGAGTAAAGTTACGATAAACATCTGTGTACAAGTTTTTGAGTGAACATAAGTTTTCAAGTCCTTTGGGTAAATACCAAGAAGAGACATTTCTGAATCATATGGTCAGAGTATGTTTAGTTTTGTAAGAAACCATCAGACTGTCTTCTAAAGTATCTTCCACTTTGTATGCTCACTAGCATTTGGTGTTGTCAGTGCTCAGTTTAGCCATTCTAATAAGTGCACAGTGGTGTCTTACTGGTGTTGTTTTTTATCCTCACCTGAGGACATTTTTTTTGCATTAAGTGAGTGAGAAACATCAGTTGGTTGCCTGTGGTATGCACTCAGACCAGGGATCAAGCCTGCTACCCAAGAATGTGCTCTGGCCAGGAATCGAACCCACAACATTTTAGTGATGAGATGATGCTCCAACTAACTTAGCCACACTGGCTAAGGCAAAGTGTTTTTTTTTTGGCAGGGGGAATACATTTATTAAAGCTGGGGACAGAGAAACAAGCAAGGGCCCAGGATAGAAGAAGTAACAGGAGAGAACTTCAGGGGTTGTTCTCTCCCCTAGGAGGGGCTGTTTTGGCTCACTAGAAACATTATAGGAAGGGAGTCAAGGAGGGATTGCTGTCAGCTCACCAGAGAGCCATAGAAAAGGGGACTGTGAGGACAGGTTCAGGAGGTTAGCCCAGGATGAGCTGTTGCTGCCCATTGCTCCCCTGGTTGCAGGTGTTGTGAGGACCCTTATAGTTTAGGAGTGTGTGCCTGTGGGATAAGAGGGGGGAGGGAAAGCTGTGGCCATGTACCCAGGAGGGAGAGCATGCTTATAATTCAGTTTTTTAAAGAAGATTTTATTTATTTATTTTTAGAAAGGGGAAGGAGGAAGAAATAGAGAGAGAGAAATATCTATCTGTGGTTGCCTCTCCCATGCCCTCTACTGGGGATCTGGTCCGCAACCCAGGCATGTGCCCTGACTGGGAATCGAGCAAGCAACTTTTTAGCTGGCAGTCTGGTGCTTAATCCACTGAGCCACATCAGCCAGAACTTTATTATCCTGTTAATGTTTGTGGATCTGTAGTGATGATCCCTCTTTCATTTCTGATATTAGTAGTTGTTGTTCTCTCTTTTTTCTTAGCTTAGCTAGAGGCGTATCAATTTCATTGACCTTTTCAAAGACTGCTTTTATTTTCATTTATTTTTCTCTATTGATTTCCTGTTTTCAATTTCATTGACTTCTGCTCTAATCCTTGTTAATTTTTTTCTTCTGCTTACTCTGAATTTGATTTGCTCTTTTTCTCTATTTTCCTAAGATGAAAACTTAGATTATTGATTTTTAAATATTTTTTGCTAATACAGGCATTTAATACTATACATTTTTCTTGTTTATAATTGATTGTATTTATTTTTTAAATTCTCACCCAAGAACATGCTTACTGATGAGAGGGGAAGAGAGAGAGAGAGAGAGAGAGAGAGAGAGAGAAACATCAGTCGATTGCCTCCCATACACACCCTGACCATGAATCAAACCTGCAACCTTTTGGTTTATGGGACAATGCTCTAATCAAGTGAACCACCCGGCCAGGGCCACCTCCACCTTTCTGATGATTTCTGTGTACAAAATAAACCTGGTGTCATTAGATTTTTTTTTTTCATGCCCCATTCCTGGAAATACTGCAATACAGGGTCGATGCACAGAGTGGATGAAGCAAGATCTTATTGCATCTCCCAGCTCCAAAAATTCATTTGATATAATGTCCTTGGATAGAGGATGCATCAGATATTAAACTGATAAGAACAGATACTACACTTGATCTTAGCCAAAAGGCCAAGAAGCAATAAGTATCATTAGATTTAGCATGATTATTTACATAAATGCATCAAGAATGATAATGACCACATAGGTCTTCAAAAGTTTGCTTTGCTAGAAGTTTTCATAAGGAATTTCACATTAGACTTCTAAAAGCCTTCTGGAGCCCTGGCTAGTGTGGCTCAGTTGACTGAGCACTGGCCTGGGAACCAAAGTGTTGCTAGTTGGATTCCCAGTCAGGGCACATGCCTGGGTTTCAGATCACATCCCCAGTGGGAGGTGTGTGAAAGGCAACTACACATGGATGTTTCTCTCTCACTTTTTGTCCCTCCCTTCCCCTCTCTCTAGAAATAAATAAAGTCTTTAAAAAAACCAAATAGCTTTTTAAAAAGAGTCAACCAATGAGTGCATAAACAAGTGGAACAACAAATCAACATCTCTCTCTACCTCCCCCAACCAGCCAGAGCCAGTAGTTAAACATTTACTAACACATAGTGGACACCTCCAACTCAGTATGTTCCAAACCAAACTCTTCTCCTTCTGTGAAACATGTTCTTCCTCCTAGAGTCCTAATCCATGTGTGAACAATGTCACCACAGACTCAAGTAAGAAATTTTGCAGTTGTCCACAGCTACTTTCTCTGTAATCACTCACCATATCAATCACTGATTCTTATCAAGTCTCCCCCAGAGCTATTTTCCTGAATTAATCCTCTCTGTCACTATCTTAGCTCAAACTCTCATTGTTTTTTAAAAAAAGATATTATTTCTTTATGTTTAGAGAGAGGGGAAGGGAGGGAGATAAAACATCAATGTGTGATTGCATGCCATCAACCTGGGGCTTGGCCCACAACCTAGGCATGTGCCCTGACTGGGAATTGAAATTTTGTGGGACGACATCCAACTTACTGAGCCACACCAACCAGACCAAACTCCTATCACTTTTTTTTTTTTTGCCTGCTCAGTTGCGATAACCTCCCGAATGATCTGCCTGCCTCTAGTGCATCTGGGTACTATTGGCCAGATAGTCTTCCTAAAACACATCAATGCAACCTAGTCACTTGTGGACATGAAGACCATAGCTGACCTTCCTTTACTTATGGGAGAATGTCTGAGCTCTTTAGCAGCACCCATAAAAGTCTTCATAGCCCTGACTGGTGTAGCTCAGTTGTTTGGGCATTGTCTCACGAAGTGATAGGTTGCTGCTTCAATTCCTAGTCAGGACAGGTGCCTGAGTTGCAGTTCGGTCCCTGGTCAGGGTATGTAAGAGAGGCAACTGATCTATGTTTCTCTCCCTCTCTTTCTTCCTCCCTTTCCCTCTCTCTAAAAATAAACAAACAAACAAACAAACAAATAAATAAATCTTTTAATAAAAACTTTCTGAATCTGGCCTTCAGATTCATAGTTTGCACCTCTCCCTACCATATACCCCAGTATAAATTGCTTATTGTTCATCAGATGTGTCCTACTCTTTCAAAACTTTATGCCTTAGCCCATGTTATCTCCTCTGCCTAGAATCCTCTGCACCACTCAGAGCCTGGGAACTTTCTCCTCCTCTTTAAAGACCCAGCTCAGAGTTCATATTCTTTGTGAGCTCTCCCAAGAAAAGTTAGTTTCTTCACCTCCATACCCACAATCTGTTTGTACCTGTAATAGAGAACTAATCAAATAGTATTATAGCTGCTGGTTTTTTACAAGTCTGGCCTCCCCACTAGACTGTCATACCCGAGTGCCTACCATAGCACTTACAACATAGTGAGAGCTCAAAAGTGTTGTTTAAAGAATAGTTAGGAACATGAATGAATGGAGTTGACTCCTAGCTCTGATAACTGGACTGTTCTCTGGTTTCTTATATAAATGCATCTCTTAAGCCCTTTTTCTGGCATCCCCAGCTCCTTAGTCTTACCTTGATGGCCTGTCTAGCACGGTAGTCTTGGCAGGAATAGCACTTCACTTAGCTCTGGCCAGACCTTTTGACATCGGACATTCTGCTCTGGAAGACCGTCTGTTGCTGGCTGCCAGATACCCTGGCTGCCCACCACCTGCCTGTCTGGGCTTCCTGTGAGTGTCTGCTGCATCCTGGTTACCCAGATGCTTCCTCTACCTGTCCGTCTACAGAGCTGGCTGGGGGCCATGCTGCTGCTCTGGGATCTTCTGCTTTACACCGGTCTTCCCTCCCTGTTCCAGCTTCCCTTGCCACCAAAATCATCCCATTTCTATCATTGCCCAACTAAAAGATTAGGTAGAGAACACTGATTAAATTCATGAGCTGTAGACTCTGGCTGAATTCAAATATCACCTCTTCCGCTCACAGCCAGTTGTGTGATCTTGGGGCAAGTCACTTCTTGTCTTTGAACCACAGTTGGCTTATGGTGTCAAATGGGCCCGATAATGATACTTACATCATAAGGTCAAGATGAGGTTTAAATAAGATAATGTGCTTAACATAGTACCTGGCACATAGTAAGTACTCAAGAGCTATTTGCTATCATTATTATCTTTATGTTCCCAATATCTATGACATCTAACAGATGTGCGTTGAGATGGGAGGAGGAGAAGAAATGACAGTCACAGGTTACTGAAGTATTCCTTATCAAAGTCTACTTGATCTGCTAATTCCACTCCCACCTCAGATGCAAACACTCTATGGCCATTTGGTTCTGTAACTCAGCTGTTTCTGAAATCCCACCTTCTTCAGGAATTCTTTGCCATCGATGGCCGATAGCTTTTCCCAAAACTTTCCCAATAATCCACTCCCACTTTCCATTGCAATTACATGCATGTATCCTGACTCCTTTGCCCCAAATCGCACTGACCCCCAGATGTGTCACTGGTGTCAACACCTCTGAACTACACAGTTTACACATTAACCCACTTCCCCTCCCACGTGTATGTGCTTTCTGCATTTTTGGTGTCATTCAATCCTTGTTGCCTCTGATTGTTAGGACAAGGATTGTGTGTAAAGGAATGAGAACAGACAGAGCCCTGGCACAGAGAAATGTTTAAGAATTGTTTTGTCATGTAGATGAAGGAGAGGAGGTGGAAGTGGAATCTAGAGATTGTGTCTCCACTTAATGTTCACTCCAACAGGGGCAGAAAGCATGCCGCCTCCTTCCTGGTCATTGACTACATTCCGCTCAGAGACTGGAGGGGCAAGCCTGGACAATGCAAATGAGCTGTGGATGGGACTTAGCCAAGGGGCTTCCAAAGGGGAGCGGCGGGGCTGGCTAAGAGGGAATAGCAAAGGAAGGTGCCTACATTTCTCAGCACCTTCTTTGTTTACCCCAAGCTGCAAAGTACTCTTTTTATCCCAAAGACACAATTCCAAAGTGCAAAAGCTCCCTCCCATGAGAAGCCTACAGACTGGGTGGTCTCTGAGTCTTTAGCCTTTGGTATGACACTCAGGATTTGTCGTGCACCCACTATGGACAAACCCTATACAAGGAAGGTGTTGTTAAACCTAGGTAGAACTTCAAGCTTTCAATCACAGGCTTTGCTGTGGCATAGAAGTGGTGATGATTGCCTGAGCATGAAGGAGCAACCTAGCCTACAAATGCCCAAAGGGGACAAATTTAGCCAGCTCCTCACCAGCTTCCTACTGTAGATCTATTGGCTTCACTTGACCTTGTCCAGGAATTCATGCTGTGAGGACCTGCATGGGCACAGCGAAGCAACTGACCCTTGCCCCTGTGGAAGTCCATTCATTCACCTATTTAAAGGCACTGGGGTCTAGGACAGTTTCTAGTTCAGTCTCAGCCCCCTACTTGGTTTTGCTTCATTTTCTCTCTTCCCTCTATTAATGACTCAATGTCTGTTTCCTCTTCAGGAGTGCAGTCCCCGGCAAACTGGTCATTTATGCCTGATGCGGATGCCTGAGACCCACAGAAATGTTTGGAAACTTTCAAGCCTAATTGTGCCTGAATGGATTCCTCCCTTACTGAGGCCAGCGGTTGGAGTGGGGCAGCTTGACCTTGGCTAGGTACTCAGAGCTGCAAGGGGTTTGTAGTTGGGCTGGAAACAGAGGTAGGAGCCCGGATGGCATTTCTCGCGCTCATCCACCCCCATCATGTGAAAGGGAGAGTTCAAAGCACAGTCACAGGTTAACCTCCTTATAAGGAAATGAACCTCCTCTTTCCTGTGTGAATTTTTTGGGGGCTTCCATATGTTTAAAGTGCCTTGTAAAATCTATACCCAACGGTATTCACAAAACCCATTCCCCTAAGGGTGGGGGACAACTAGGAGCCAAGACAGAAGAGGTGGGCGGGGCGAGTCTGAGAAAGGCATGTGAGAGAAAAATTTCAGGGATGAGTCATCAAAAAGAAGCTGGAAAAGAGAGCGGAACTAGTCATCTGAGCTGGGAAGGAGACGAGCATTCATTAGAGCCAGATTGTGTCAATCACATCTGTTCCACAAATGACCTGAGAGCCTGCCGGTCTTTCCAGACGGAAAAGGGGTCTCGGTGGGCGGTCTCAAGGCTTTGAAATAGGAGAAGATATCGCAAGCATCCGTCAGAGGAATCTGAGGCAGCGCCGGCAGGTTTGTTAGAAAGATGGCGTTTGCTATCAAGGTCACATGGCCACTTTATAGCACTAACAGAAACGCTAGTGAGAATAATAGAAAGCGCTACCATAGGATCCAGATTTTCAGAAGCAGTCTCAAATCTATTTTTTTTAAACAGCAAACACACTTGTATTTGTCAGAACACCTGTCCTCAAAACATCACCAAACCAATATGTGAAGGGGTAGAGTTTCACTGGGGCTCTTTGCCAGATGTGTCTTGAGGAACAGAAGAGAGTGGGGGACCCCAGGGGTCAGGATAAAAGGCAGCACTGGCCAGGCCAGAGGCCACCTGGGAAGCTGATTGCACCAGTATCTGCCAGTGTCACCAGTTCTATGTCAGGTTAAAGTCTACCCAGCTCGGTCTAACTTCTGACGTTTCACTTGTTTTGATAGGTTGCCCTGGCCAAAAAGGACTTGGTTGGGTGCCTGCACATTGCACCAGACAAATTTACCTAAAGTTAGATTTTGGTC